CTCGTCCCTGCCTCCCTAACCTGTTCTTCCTCCCACCTATCCCCTCCTCCCACCCCAAGCCGCACCTCCATCTCCTACCGACCAACCTCATCCCGCCCCCTTGACCTGTCCGTCCTCCCTGGACTGACCTATCCCCTTCCTAACTCCCTACCTACACTCACCTTTCCTGGCCCCATCCCCGCCTCTTCGACCTGTTTGTTTCCTCTCCACCTATCCTCTCCTCTATCCCTCTTCTATCCGCCTCCCACTCTCTCCCTATTTATTTCAAAACCCCCTTCCCCTCCCCCTTTTCTGATGAAGGGTCTAGGCCCGAAACGTCAGCCTCTCTGCTCCTATGATGCTGCTTGGCCTGCTGTGTTCATCCAGCCCTGCACCTTGTTGTCTCGGATTCTCCAGCATCTGCAGTTCCTACTATCTCTGATTCAATTCACGTAACAAACCAGGTTAGATCACTCATCTAAATAGAGGGAGCAAATTAGCTTCTTGGACTCAGCACACCAAAGTCAGTTGATGCTACAAACAAAATAAGCCCTCACTTAAAACGTCAATGGTGCCAAGGAAGACCATTGTGATGTCAAAGACCTCTGGCTGTTCACACACTAAGCAAACTGAAAAGTTGCTAATGACTAGGGTCGCAGTACCAAAAAGCACTTTCCCATTCCACTCTGGGCAAAAGTACCAATCTGAAAACTAATGGTTTCTCTTTTACCTTCTTCAGCTCACCTGGATCGTGGATCACCTGCAATGAGATTCCCAAATTCTCCCAAGATGTATCCACCCACCTTCACCATGTTCTCGTGACAGGCTGGGGCCTGGAGTGCCTGAAGAAGAAATCAAAAATTATTTCACTTGGAAATTTTGTTCACAGGTGGCCCTTTGCCCAAACTTCCATCTGCTCTAAATGGTTGCTTTTACACCATATCCCTTTTGTAAATTCAGTATTTTTCTGAAAGCTGTAATCAATTTAGCAATCAACACTGTAGCAAAGTGTTCCACATTCTGCTAACTTCTTGTTTATTTCAGCAGTCAACTTTTCATTCTGGGATTCTCTCTCAAGCCTGTGGCCTCGTGTCTCTGACTAATCTGCCACTAGAAAAGACATTTCACTTCTAATTATTTTTAGTAGTTAAACGCATTGAAATGAGAACCTAATCACAAGAACGGCTGGTTTCTTGTCATGGCATAGTCCAGACTGTGTTGTCATTTCGTCACTGGCTGGTTGATATTTTCAGTGCTCCTTAGGGAATGGAAACTCCTGTAGGAGCCCAGTCAGTGCGTTTAAAAAAATCATTTTATCTAGTGTGGTACATGATCTTTAAGTGCTATTTCCATTATAATTTTGACTAGCTCCCATACCTCATCTTCCAGAATTAGATAAATCCTACGGCATGGACCTTGTAGCACACCAAAGTTTTAAAATCACCAATATCCCTGGAACAGTTATAAGGAGGGAGAAATTTTCAACTCATACTCAATCAACATCTTATACTCCATAAATTACCAAAAACAAATTTCCAAAGTACTTTATCAAGGAGAACGTCAGGTTCTAACAGGACGAGGAGAGATAACAGCCGCTAAGAGAGGGGCAATTTCTAGAAATACTAAAAGATACAGGAAGGAATACTCAAAAAAATTTGTGGAGTAACATGGCTAAAGACTGCCACAAATAAAAGTAAGAGGTACGGGCAATGCAGAGTTGAGACAATGGGAGATTAGAGTAGTGGGATCAACGCAGACCAGAGATTTGACGGCAAGGACTAGGAAGAGGATAATATCCTGAGGGATGGTTGACAAGGATTGGGATGACTGGGATCTTGTGACTTTGAGGGACAGAGATTGCAAGTGATTGGTTAAGTTCCAGACAAAGGAGGAGTTTGAGAGACTACAGTGGAAGGTCTGTTGGGGCAGGGTGAGAGAGAGGAAAAACAAAAATCAACAAAAAAAGAAAAGTGGCAGACACACAAATGATGGTACTGGCACTCAAAAAGCTTAAAAAAAAAAGGAGAGACACAGACTATTTCCAGAAGCAGAATTAGGGTCTTTTAGTAATCACAGCAATTTCAGAATGTGGCTGAAATTCAGAACTCCAAGTCAGAATGTTTACCTCGAACACAGTCTTTGCTGCGTAACCTTGAACATCATCACGGTTAATAACAATCTGAATGACTCGGTACCACACTTCCTCACTGACGTAGTCCCCTGCAATGCGGATGAGGTTCAGAATTGTGTCCACATACCATGTGTAATCCACTGCATACTTCTCTGCTAGAATGGCCACCTTCAGGACCTGCCATGGATTTTTAACAAAAAAAGAACACAAGTGGTGAGTGGTGAGCTCTTTGCAAAATGTTGCAGTTGCCCTAGGCTGATGAACAGCTAGGATAAACAGAACACAACTGAACAACACTTAGTGACCTCCCCAGTCAGTGTGGGACATTACCACTCTTGGACTGTTAACAGTAGCTTGATCAGTAATCTTGACCACTTAATTCAACATTCACATCCTTTCACCACCACGGCTCCAGTGTGTGAGAGACTGAGACTGAGCTTTACTTACATAGCATTTCTTGGCCTCACCATCAATTTTTCATTTTTTCCAGTGTTCTTTCCCCTCTGTACATACCTGCTTCCTCTACAGGCAAGCAGCAGCAGTAAAAACCCAATGTGTAATGGAGAATTGCAGCAAACTTGCACAACCAGGTCACACCACACAGCAGCAAACAAGACTGTTCAAATTCATTCCTTGGAATATATAACACAAGGAAAGTAAAAAGAGGGAAGCAGGCCTTGCATGGATACATTACTCAAATATCCCAAATCACTGGACAGTCAGACTAAGTAGACTTGCTCACCAAGCATGTCTACAGTGCGCCTCCAGTGAAGCTTCAGAGGGTGGCACACTGAATATGTTACCTGTCAGGGTGACAAAATAATGGCTCAGCGAGCAAGACTACAACCTCATTCACAACCCAAGCTACAAATCTTCAAGAACTTTGGAGAAAAAGCCTTGGAGAGCAAAAACAGGGAAAGGGGTAGGGGTAGTGGTCCTTTTCGTAAAGGCTGAGCAACACCTTCTCACTAACTATCAACAACAATTTCCATTGATATAGCACCTGTAACTTAAAATCGGGATCTTGTCAATACCATGCCTTTCCCAACATCACAAGCACAACTGAGCACCAATTCGCTTTCTCCTTATGCATTTTCCCCATGTGACTAGTATCAGTGGTGTGCATGCATGCAAAACATTCGATTCAACAGCCGGAGAGGCTTCTCATTGTGAGACCTGCCATAAAGTAACAATGCTGTATCTATGAGCGGTCTTTTAAACAGACCCCGGGCCAAACAGAGGCTCTCCATCACTGCCACACCTTGCTGGTCCAAATGCACAGCCAAACACAAGTGCACGGGTATACGCCAAAATTTAATTTCACTTGTAAATATTTTACACGATATTGCTTCACTTTACTTATGCGCATCACTATTATTTACTGAGACTAGCTTAGTCAGAGAGCTCATTGTATTAGCACATCTCATAACTGGCACACATTGATGTTTACAGGAGAATGGGAGATATTTCCTTTATTATGGAAGAAATAACGTGTGTTTTATGCATTTACTTTACTGAATCTTCACATTAGAATCCAGCATGGTACTCACCACTCTGTGGGACATGGCTGAACTGACTGGCTTAGCTTTTATTTCATAGAATCCCTAGTGTGGAAACAGGCCATTCGGCCCAATAAGTCCACAGCACCCTCTGAACAGCATCACAACCAGTCCCATACCCCTATTACTCAGCATTTCCCACAGCTAATGCACCTAACCTAGACATCCCTGAACACTATGGGACAATTTAACATGGCAAATCCATCTAACCTGCACGTATTTGGACCGTGGGAAGAAACTGCAGCATCTAGTAGAAATCCATGCGGACATGGGGAGAATGTGCAAACTCCATACAGACAGACACCCAAGGGTGGAATCGAACCCAGGTTCCTGGTGCTGTGAGGCAGCAGTGCTAACCATTGACCACAGTACCTCAGCTGGCCTTTCCTTCTAGGTAAAGGATATTGTCTAAGAGCCATCTCAGCTGGGGTCCTCGAAATGCTGTAGATAAATCCAAAGCCCTGTAAGGACTGTGACAGCCAACACCCTGAGACGGACATGTACTTGAACATCTTTTAGGTCCTCATTGTTTTGCCTTGACCAACTGCCCACACTATTCCCTCACTACACCAAGTCAGCTGGCCCTTCATCGACTTCACTATTCCCCTGATCCAGTCTCTGTCCTCCCAGATCTCTTCAGATCCTTCATGCCCCAACGTTACTCCAAAATCCACTCCTTCACCTCCAACATACCCTTGCCGGTCCTGAGTCTTGACGCAAGAGCCCATTCACTCTCCTGTGCCATTGAGTTAAACAAGGAAATCTGCTGATCCCACACACAACTGCAGAAAGGCAACGTCACCTTTGAACGGTTGTGCATGGGTATCTCTGCACCACCGAAACAATCTCGAAGATAGGATTTTAATGAAATCAGTCGTTAGAGTATTTATGACATGCATAGATATGACAAGTATGAAACCACGAACTGACCAGCGTAATGCTCGACATACCCATCAAAAAAACAAATTTCACCTCTTTCAGTCATCCTTGTAGCCTCCACAAAACACCCCACCCCACCCCCAAGTAAAAGAAGCCCAAAAAGGGTGCTTTGCAGGAGCAATATCAGACAAAATTAACAAACAGACAGATATCCGCATATCAGATAGAAAGCTGACTCAGAGGTAGTTTTGGAGGAAGGTGATTTCTCTCACTGATCCTCCACTCACTGGTTAATAAAGTCGGAAGTCACGCAGCACCAGGTTATAGTGACTTCACCTGACGAAGGAGCAGCGCTGCGACAGCTTGTGATTTCAAATAAATCTGTAGAACTATAAAACTTAGTATTGTGTGATGTCTGACTTTGTCCACCCCAGTCCAACACCGCATCACCACATCATGAATGGTTAATAGGTGGAGGTGTGAATTACACAGCATATTTGTAACCCGGGGTGGGGTTCACTGCACTCATTGTTAAATGTTCTTTCACTGTTTTGAAATTAGACAAAGCATGGGAAACTCACTATCTCTTCACGAATGGAATAATCAGCTGTTTCCAGGTAGCTCAACATTTCTGCCACGATTTGTGGAGCATTAGTTCGGTCGCACATGGCATACAGGAGGTCGGCTGCTCGTTGGCGAACACTCACATCCCTCTCCGTCTGTGGAAAAGATGCACACAAAAGGATGAGTAACTAAATGCAACGGATCCACAAACCTTCTGGAGCATTCTAACAAAAAATGGAGTTTTAAGAATGATCGTCAGAAGACAAACACAAAAAAGTAAGGAATTACTATACAAATCCACGAGTCTCCACTAATTAGGGGTCAATAACCAAAGGACAGAAATTCAAGGTAAGAGATCAAAGGCTAAGTCATAGGAGTCTGGAACTCATTGCCTGAAAGATTGGTCAAGTCAGAAACTTGTAATCATAGAATCTGTACAGTGTGGAAGCAGGCCATTCGGCCCATTGAGTCCACACCGACCCTCCGAAGAGCATCTCACCCAGACCCACCGCCCTACCCTGTCCCTGTAACCCTGCATTTTCCATGGCTACTCCACCTAGCCTGCACATCCCTGGATAATATGGGCAATTTACAATGGTCAATCCGCCTAACATTGCAGGAAGCAGGAGCATCCAGAGGAAACCCACGCAGACACAAAGAGAACATACACACTCCACACAAACAAACAGTCACCTGAGGTTGGAATTGAACCTGGGTCCATGGCACTGTAAGGGAGCAGCACTAACCACAATGGATGGGCCGCACTGTGCACTATGCAAGTGATAAGTAATAAGTAGTATTTAGAAATACTGGGGGAAATCAAGGGGAAGCGATGGCCTAGTGTTATCACTGGACTTTTAATCCAGATACCCAAGTAATGTTCTGGGGACACGGGTTCGAATCCCACCACAACAGATAGTGCAATCGGAATTCAATAAAAATCTGGAATTAAGAATCTAATGATGTCTATGAAACCATTGTCAATTGTCAGGAAAAACCCATTTGATTCACTAATGTCCTTTAGGGGAGGACCCTACCTGGTCTGGCCTACATGTGACTCCAGACTCAGAGCATGTGGTTGACTCTTAACTGCCCTCTGGGCAGTTAAGGATGGGCAACAAATGCTGTCCAAGGCAGCAATGCCCTCATCTTGTGAATGCATTTTAGAAAAGACTTGTCGCCATAGCCTCCAGGGTTCTGGTCCAAAAACTGAAAAAAAAAGGAATCTGTGTAGTCAGATCTTTTGTAACCAGCACAAACAACAGGCGAAATGGCTGCCTCCTGTGCTGCAAATGTCTAGGAGTCAAAATAAGAATTCAAGCAACCTTTAGATTTGGAATGTATTGTATTCAATATCACAAAATTGCTACACAATGCAGAGAAAGGCTATTCAGTCCATCATGGCTGTGCTGGCTCTCCTGATTTATTATCATTCCCCTGCTTCTCCCAGTAATCATGCACACAGTTCCTTTTCAGATAAACTTCTAATTCCCTTCTGAATGACTCAATTGGACCTGCTCCTCCATACTCTCGGGTTACGCATTCCAGACTCTCGACACTTATTACATGAAAAAGATTTTCATGTCACCTTTACTTCACACACTAATTACATAAACTTCAATCCTCATGCAAGGGGAGCAGTTTCCCTTTATTTATTTTATCCAGACATCTCATGATTTTGAATACCTTTAACAAATCTCCTATTCGCCTTCTCTTCTCCAAGAGAAAGAGCTTCAACATCTCCAAACTACCTTCATAACAAACTCCTTGTAAACCTGTTCTGCATTCTCTCTCCAATGCCTTCATATCCTTCCAAGCGTGTAGTGCCTGACCTGAATGCAATACCCCAGCTGAATGCAATATTCCAGTGTCTTATACAAGTTCAACGCAACTTCCTTTCCCTTGTACTTCTTTCTCCTAGTCACAAAGCCTAGATGTTAGGGCAGCACGGTGCTCAGTGGCTAGTACTGCTGCCTCTCAACACCTGGGATGTGGTTCAAATGCAGCTTCAGGTGACTATCTATGTGGAGTTTGCACATCCTTCCCGTGTCTACATGGGTTTCCTCCAGGTGCTCCGGTTTCCTCCCACAGTCCAATGATGTGCATAGGTGGATTGGTCATGCTAAATTACCCGTACTGTCCAGGGATATGCAGGCTAGGTAAATAAGCCACAGGAAATCACGATTACAGGGATAGGATGAGTCTGAGTGGGATGCTCCTCAGAGGGTCAGTGTGGACTCGATGGGCCGAACGGCCTGCTACCACACTGTAGGGATTCTATGATTAAGCAGCAAGATATCAAGTTCCTTTGCTGGCATTATGGCACCCAAACAGCTGTCAGCTCTCCAATGCCTTACTCAAGAGTATATTTCTCCATGAGCTTAGACAACTACTTAGCCATATGAGACACCACAACCTTGTCCCATCCCATCTCATTCCTTCTATGTTCATGTTTGAACAAAGATCGTGAAATGGTAGATACCATGATTACCCCCTCTAATCCATAAGCAAAGTTAATTGCTTACCTTCAGCGCATTGATTACTGTTTCGATGTGGGTTTTGACAGCTTCGTGAGAAAATTCAGAGCCCGCCAGTAGACACATGCTTTCCAGAGCCAGGTATCGCAAGTTAGTCTCACGATGCTGCAGGAACTGACCGAGCTGGTTGCATGCACGCACCAACAGGTTTGGCTCACTGCCAGAAAATTAAACAGGTGTATGTTTTTTAAACAAAACATTTGATGTACACTGTATTTTTGATAAAATTTAATTTTGGGCTTGGTTTGAGTTAGTAACCTCCTGGTTTTGTGTGTCTCTGAAGCTAATAATTAACTTGCAAATACTTCTGTAGCCATGGTGGTTTCCTTGAAAACAGTTTTTGAGTCCTGGTTTTAAGAATGCTTTGTGTGCCACTAATGATTATGGTTTGTTTATCTTAGATTGCTTTGGAACGCAGCATGGTAAAAATAATGGGGTGTCAAGTTTTGTTAGACATTTCTGGAATTTTTTTTTAAAAAAAGGTCAAGGGAAACACTTAGATCTTAGAGAGGGAGACTTTTGGTTTCAGTTTTACTCGAAGTTTACAGCAATCCTGTGAAGTTCTTTGAATATATATCACTGTGACCAGTGTTCTTGAGAAGGTAAGGATTTAGTGAACTAGATTGTCTTAAAGAGTTCATGTTAGCTCCAGACCAGAAGCGTGGGGACAAAACTTTGAGTGGTTATTTAAGCTGTGTACATAAACGTTTAGGGGTATGATAGCTTCAGGAAGAAGTTATCTGCAGTTCCAGTGTAAAAGCTAAAGTCATAAGTGATTAAATATACCGAGGTGTTAGATACAGGAACTCCGTTATGCATATTGTACAAGTAGTGTTTTGGGTGCTGTATTGTTTTGAGTACTGTATAAGCGCTGTTATTTTTCTTTTCCATTTACAAAAGGATTGTTTTAGGATTAATGGAATGATACTTTCACCATGCATTTAAAAATCTTTGCATTTCGAGAAATAGATGGCTTGGTTTATTCCATTTTATTTTGCCTTTCTTAATAAACTTCACTTTTATTGTTAAAGCAAAATCTGCAGCAAGAGAGCACTTCAAATGCAAAACAAATCAAAGATTGATCTATCAAAGCCTGGTTTTCACCTGGGATGTGACTTGTCCAGTAATAACATCAACTGATATCATAATGCGTGCATGCACAAGTGTAAAACAAACATTTTAAATAACAAACCTTAAATCTTCCTCCCTAGTCTTATCACACTGAAAGTAGCGCCCCACACAAGGCACAAGGCACTAATGCTGGCTCTTGACATGAATGCCATGCAAAGTCAACTTGCTAGCAAATCAGAACAGCAGTGCAGCACACCGGACAATATATAAGCAACTTGTAGGTCCCAAGACAGTGAGAAGAGTGGGAAAGAAATCTACTTTGGCCCCAGTGGCTGTTATAAGAGTGCACAGAAGCAATTCAGAGTCTACTCTCCATGCTTGCCTCTGCTTAGCGCTGCACTTCAGCACAACTCAAATCAAGAGATCCAGTGCTGTAGGGAAGGTTGTAGAATTTAAACTCACACCTTACTATTCACTTGTACAATGGTTTCTCTGCTGTTCAAGCATGGTCCTGTCCTGCCACTTTCTGAATTTCTTACATTCTGTGTGGTTTGCATTCAGAATGCCCAACTGGCTCTATACTGTTGGGCTTCTTGACCAAGGAATATATCGAATTTAAATCTACTGCATCAGACGATGCAGAGGCTGCATTATTTATACTGAAACTTAAGGTGGAAGGATGGTGCAGAGAGATGCCATGTTACATACCTGTCGTAATGTATAATAAGGCTGATAGCTTCAAAAAGAATTGCATTCTTAGCATTGGAGTGTTGTACCTTCTTGGATTTGGGCGGTTCCTGGGCTTTATTGAGGATAGTCTCCATACATTCAATCAGGCGACCCTTAACAGCAGTGTCCTCTGCAAAGGATGAAACAGTGAAGTGGAAATAACTGCCCATATATATGAGCCCAGGGTGCCAACACCAACTGGAGTACAGTTTCTGTTATCAGAAAGAATCACAACACTGAGCAACTAGTTAAACTTGTCACTTCTAATTTGAGTAACTTAGTACAACAACTACACACACATGTCCATTAGGGAAGGAAACTGCTATCCTTACCTGGTCTGGCCTACATGTGACTCCAGACCCACAGCAATGTGGTTGACTCTGAACTGCCCTCTGGGCAATTAGGGATGGGCAATAAATGCTGCCCCAACCAGCAACACCCTGATTCCATTAATTAATAAAGGACACACTAGAATCTAGACACCATTCACTTGGGGCTTATGCACAGTAACTACAAATCTTGCATTCAGTGTGCAACTGTTGATGAAAGACAAAAGCAGAAATTCCTGGAGAAACTCAGCATGTTTTCTCCTCAAAGAGACTTGCTGAGTTTTTCCAGCAATTTCTGTTTTTGTTTGTTTCAGATCTCCAGCATCTGCAGTTCTTGGTTTTATTTCTTTAACTACACCCCTTGCTTTCCGTTTTCAATGTTTTTGGTCTTACTTTTGTGGCTTCCCATTCTAATTTAGTATGTAAAAATTTCCCATTCAACTATGCTATGCAAATGTTTCTCTTTCAACTATGCAATGTCAACTTCTACATTGTAATTATAGTAGTGACCTATTGATTATTTAGTCACAACAATGAAAAGACAGTGTTGTAAGTAGCTGGGTGCCTTACCAGGTGGAGGATAACACTGCAGGAGTCGTAGCAGCTTGACAGAAAGCCAGGGTGCTGGAACAAAGTAATATGTGTAATCCTGAAGGTCAGTGGAGGCAGATGACACAATCTGTAACAGCCATGAAATAAGAATCAAGCTATTGGTCATTTGTAAGTCACAATATACTTATTGGGGATGTCAGAAAAGACTGGTCACAATATGGATATTTATCTGCACACAGCTGGGTTCCAATATGAATCCTGTACTTAAAGACAGAAATGCTGATCTTGGAAAATCGCACACTTTCCACCTGAAGCATCCATCTCAAACATCAAGCATGCCCAGTTGCAGTCCAAAGCACAGAGAAAATACTGGAAGTACTCAGCTAGTCAGGTAACTATTTCTTCTTCCTCCAGCGTTTTCAGGTCAATGAATTGCTGAGTCTTTCTTCTTCTGGAGATGCTGTCTGGCCTGCTATGTTTGAAGTCTAGACAAGAAGTCACTACCATTGGTGAAAAATCAGCATCCAATTCAGTGAACAATATGATTGCAAACTGTTAACTACCCAATTGTCTTAAACATTCTTTCGTGGATCAAACAGTAAGGAGACTGTCAGCAAGAGAGTTCTAACAAGCATTTGATGAAAAACATACAATAACTATGGATATTTCCTCGCCTTGGGGAGGACCTGGGAGAGCAAGAAACTAGTCTCCCATCCAGCATTCGGTTTGTCTGAAGAGATCAGAACCTGTTCCCATGTAAAACAAAAGGTGCATTGTGCCTCATCTTTGAGCAGCAAACACATCACACTGTCACTGTAACTATCCCCAACTGAATTTTATCTACTCCTGAAGCTGCTTTCACCAAGATACAGTCCAAAGGGGTTTACCTTCTGACACTCTGACAAGCAGCACTAGATGTGGTGTAGATGTCATGGTCATAGAATGTAGCATACAGCTCAAGCTCAAGAGGGATAGCTGGATGGAAATCAGGAGAAACAGCACTGACTGGTTTTCTTTGCTGATATTAAAGGCAATGCAGAGCTTTGACTATGACCACAGCTATTAAAGTGAACAGATTCTGGTCTTTATAACTTTGTACTACACTAAGCAAAATCTTTATCTGCCACAGCATGGAGAGACAGTGGCAGGAGAGCACTTGCCATTTTCCTTCTGAACAGAAAATCAATCAACCCACATACTTCCAGTAAACCAACTGTTTAAAACAGCAATCGATTAAGTCTGCAAAGCAGAGGATAAATCCAGATCTAGAAAATCAAGTAGCAGCGTACCCACTTACCCGACTAAGTCTGGAAACGGCCAATGAAACACAAGTCTTGAATTCATCAGGGTTTTTCTTGCTCAGACAAGTGATGAGACTGGTAGCTGCAGTCACAACCCCCTGCAACACACCAGGAAAAGAGTGTCAAACAGATTTAATCTACAAAAATGCCCCAAAATCATAGTTATTTTCATTAAGTTGCTTTAGCAAAATAAAATCATATCTAAATTAATAGGCATTGGTGGTGTGCAGCTTGGTTCTCTTGCCACACTAACACTTCACACTCCTCACACCACCAGTGACAGACATGACTGACAGCATTTCACCTGTGCACTGTAAATGTTTTGCATGCCTTGTCAAACTCCATCTGCCTAGTCAGTTAGTTAAGATTGACACTATTCAGAATAGTGACATACTGGCCAACATTTTCCCCTCGACTGATATTACATTACAACTGCCCCTCAAGTCACTGCTGCTTCTGGAATTTGATGTATGCATCATGACGGCTATATCTACTGGTAAAACAATGATTGCACTTCATTGCATGTGAAACATTTAGAAGGTTTGAAAAAGAACACAAGGTATGCCACAAATATGGGTTCTTCTATTCTATCCATCAGAGTTCTCTCAAAGTTGGGAAGAAAGTGGTCTGCAATTGTACAGCTGGGTGCTCGTGGAAGCTCAATTGGATACACTTCCAACAACATGCTTTCCTGAAATCTTACTCACAACCCTTAGTTTTCGTGCCTTACTTTCTAAACGCATAACGTCTGCCATCTCAAAGGACAAGGGCAAGGGCAGCAGGTACGTGGGAAACCATGCCCTGCAAGTTCCCCTCCAAGCCACTCACCATCCTGACTTGGAAATACATCGCCGTCCCTTCACTGTCACTGGGTCAAAAGCCTGGCACTCCCACACTAACAGCATTGTGGGTATACCTACATTACATGGACTGTGGAAGCTCAAGGCAGTAAATGCTGGCCTAGCCAGAAACATATCCCATGAAGCCTCTAGAAAATTCTCACATTGCAAAATTACGAGGGCCCAACATTAGCTGATATAGGAAGAACATTTCTTATGGTAAAAGTAAGCTTACTCAAATAAAGGGAAGTGATGTTGCAGTGGCAAACTCACAGGACTAGTAATCCAGAAATTACTAGATTACTATTGTTCCTGGAGTTTTAATTCAAATCCCAGTTTGGTAGGTGGTGAAATTTGAGTTGAACAAACAAACAAACCTGGAATTTTAAAGAAGTCCAACAGTGATCATGTAACCATTGCTGACTGTTGTTAAAAAATAAGGGAAGGAAAACTACCCTCCTTACAGGGTCTGGCCTACACCCAACTCCAGGCCCCACAATGTAGATGATTTTCAACTGCCCTCTGAAACGGCCTTGACTGCCAAGCAATTCAAGAGCAAATAGGGAAATGAAATAAATGACACCCACACAAGAGTTAAAAAAAATTAAAGGAATTTATAGAAAGGTATTGCCCATGGCTGACCAATGCTTGTAAAAACAAAGAAAAAAAAAGTCTCTCTATACTTGCTGGAGCAAGAAATGACAAATGTTCCTTCAATGAGAGCAGCAGGTACATGGGAACATCAGCACCGGCAAGTTCCACTCCGAGCCACTCATGGCAGCTATATCTACTGGTAAAAAAAATGACTTCACTTCATTGCATGTGAAACATACAGGATGTTTGAGAAAGAACACAAGGTATGCCACAAATGAAATCTGATCATTAACCAACTTGAACAGCCCACATTTTCTCAAAGCGAACACAGGGAGAGAGATCTGGAGTTAATTTTATTTCCATACCGAGTAGAGAATTTATAAAAATGAATAACTTATTTGCTTACCAGATGCTGGTCATTTAATAGATGGACCACTCGGGATGTCCACTCGCCCATGGGTACCAGGTCTGGAGAAGTCTTGTATAGACGCAGAAGACACAAAGCAGCACTCTGTTTCACACTGTCCATAGTATCACTGTCAACAGAACACCAGCAACAAGTTCAGTGGGAGAAATTAATCCTGGAGGTGCTAATCACAGAGGGAAAAAGGAGAAACAATTCACATTTTATTTTTATAATGAGTTCACCAGGTTAAAGAATTTGGATACTGGGATATGAAATATTTTGCCATTGGGAATGCAAGGTCAACACCAAAAACGAGTGGCCGTGTTCCTCCTTACACTTCTAGAGCTGATACAGCATGGGTTAGATATACTAGCACTTCCCTCACTGTGGCCTAATATGATGCCTGAGCCTCAACCTCAAAACAATGGTAAATTGATAAAAGTTAAATAGTTTTTATTTAGATTTCCAGGATCTGCAGCAAGCGCTAGAAAAATGCAGGAGGTCTGGAAGCAACTGTGGAGTGAGATATTCCAAAGAACACACAATAGACTCACAGCATTAATTGTTAGTCTCCTCAAATGCTACTAGACCTGCTGAGCTTCTCCAGCACTTTCTGCTTTTCTTTTAGAAGAGCTGTACACATAATGGGGATGCTTTTTTCCTATTTCTTGCACAAGCCACTGTTGCCAGTTAGAATGATAATTGCTATAAAATTCAGGTAACTGAATACCAGCTGCTCATGACCATTAGAAAATGGGCTAGGGGCCTCTTTACTTTATTTGGTATAGAGCTGTAAGAGCAGTTGATAAGAGAAAGTTTTTGCCCCAAAAACGTGCCAACTACAAGCAGCAATTACATTAAGACAAACTTACCCAGCTACCAGGATTTTGGGAATCTCTGAAGCAAATGCCTCTGCCATTTCCCTACTGCCAACATTTGCAATGCAGTGCAGAGCAAGACACATGAAGATGGGATTGCGACTGGCCAGGTCATTCTTAATGGCATTGTTAATCAGACGAATCAGCTCACTGTTGGAGTTCACCAGCACCGAAATGAAAAGGTAACCCTGAGAAAACAGAATACATGCTTGAACCTGAACTTCTGAAACATGCTGTGATATAACTGACAATGTTAAGAAACTCAGCAGACTAGACAGCCAAACCTAACAAACAATGCAGAGCTGTAAAACGTTATATTTTTGACCTTCAAGGGAGTCAAAGTAGGAAAGTGGAGTTAAGTCAACAATCTGATGAGTCAAGACTTTACTGAATGACGGAGCAGACTCTAAGGGCCAAATGGCCTCTTGATGCTCCTAGTTATGATGTTATCAATAAACGGGGTAGGAGAATTATGGGAAGAGGGGCAGGGTAATCATAGGCTCAAAAGCAAAAGATAAACCAAGAACATATGGATGAGATAGGAAAAGATCTAGGTGATCCATCCAGCCTGGACAGCATTGCTGTGGTCACAATATATCCATACTGCATCCTACCTAAAATGATGGAAGACCAGAGCCAGGACGTTCAGCTTCACGTAGCAAGAGAACAGAGCAGTGGAGATATGAACCCTGGATTAAGAACCTAGCTCTCCCCGCTATCCTAGGCAACATACATCCCTCAAAAAGATCCCAGTTCAAGGACCTTCTCATTGTCCCACTGCTGTTTCAGGGAGTTTGCTGTCTGGGAATGTAACGAGTTTCCTATCATTACAACATCAACTACACTCATTGACTGGAAAGGACTTCAGGAGGTCCTGAGATATTTTAGACATGCAGGTTCCCTCTTTCTTTAGAAAGTCTACATGTACTGTGTTTGGACAGAGAATCAGTTTCGACTGCAGTGCCTGCCTTGGTTAAAGGACTGATTGGTCCTTGATGTCTCAAATTCCGATAATAAGGAATGGCAACTTTAGTGTGGAAACTGTCCAACAAGCTTGTAAAAACATTGCTACGCAGAAGTCTTGCTCAATGAATTTTGGGGTATCCTGCCCATCACAGAACGCACAGCAAATCTGAGAAAAGTGAATCTAAAGAGGACTAAGACTGACTTGATCTTATGAGGGGGTCACAGCTTTATGCAGTTTCTGTCATTAGGATGTAGGCCAAGACTTCCCAAACTATGCACAGCAACCAGTCAAAACTTTGAGGTTCCAGGCTCAAATGCAGTAATGGTTGGTTTGGAGCTCTGAATAAGTGCTAACGGTTGTGAGGCCCCTTTAAATCTTAGTTTCTTTTTTAGAAAGTGGGAACGGCCTAACTACTCAACCTTGTGGGCCTGAAAATCTAACATGAAATAGAAAACCAAACATCTGACCCCAGTAAAGCCTATGATAGATCTATGCCCAAACCCCATCACCCCAACAAGTGGGATCAAGCAGAAATACTCACAATCTGCTTCTCTGTATATTTATTGGAACTGAGCAGGTTGACTGCCTCCATATGCCCAAAGTCAATGTCATGACCAAGCAGGAAGATAAAGAGCAGTTTGCAAACATATTTCTTCTTACTATAACCATCCAGTGCCTTGTCACCTGCATTAGCAAAAAGAGAAAAAAGAGTTGGAGTTGCCCAGTGTCAGAATTACATTTAAATCTGAGTACTGGCACACATGGATGATCATGATCTCCTTATATTCTGGAAACCATGACAAAGACATCATTCAAAAACAGAAATTGCTGGAGAAACTCAGCAAGTCTGGCAGCATCTGTGGAGAGAAAAACTTAACATTGAATTCAGTGACTTTTCTTCAGAACAGTAAAGAGTCTGAACTTTCGTTCTTTGTTTTATTGTAGACATTTATGGTTGTTCCAAAGAGAAGTCTCAGATTCAAAATGTTAACTCTCTTTCTCTCGCTACTGATGCTACGGGATCTGTGGAGTTTCTCGAGCATTTTACCTTTATTCATGGTTGTGTCAAGACTTGGCAGGGACAAAAAAAAACACAAAAGATCATAAGATCAGCCATCATTCCTTTTCTGATCTCCATTTACTCACCATTGTTGTTATGTATGCTTGTGAGACTAACTGGCGAGAATTTGATTGGGCCAGTTGGTGTACTTTGCAGTTGAACAACGTGCCAAAATATTTATTGCCGAGATTCACAGGTAATCAGTTAAGCAGGTATCTAATCCTTGTGAAGCTACTCAGAGAATATTTCATTTTATTGGGGAGGGTGGGCGAGAGGCGATGTACAGGATCGAAGGGCTCCAATTATTCAAATTATTTCTAAACATTTACACCCTCCAATCATACACTCCCTCTCCTAGTACTGAGCTGAGGATGCAGATCTAGTGCCGATTCGTATGAATTTCTGTGTTTGGAGTGAACAGAGGGGAAAGAAACCACTGACTCACTACAGGAAGCGGAAACCAGGACTGGTGTTGAGAGGTTTCTGTGGTTTTCTTTGAGTCCTCTGTGTTGTTTTGCATGCGTACGTGTGCACATACGCAGGGATGGCACCATGCGGTAAGAGGTTAAAAAAACAAATTCTAGGACTGAGTGCAGTAAAAATTACATTGACCCTCTCATTTGAAGGAGTCTGATACTCCCACACTGACTGAAAACTTGCAACAGTTCTGTACAACTGATCACCGCAACAGCCAGTATTGCAAAAGCAACTCAGTTCTCCTATCTTAATATTTGAGTGTTTCCCAATTTGGATTTCCGCCAGCCAGGACTTGTTTTATACTGTAGCACACTCTTCCTTCTTCGTGCACAGCAATAGGCAGGATATGCAGAAAGAAAAACTTACACGCGAGTAACCTCCTATGTCAGTGATTTTATGACTATTTTTAAACAAAAATGCTTTAGATGCAGTGAGGTCTTCCAGGTTACATCTCCTCCTCTGAAGACAGTAACTGATGGACCAATATATCCCTCAGGTGTAAACAGGCTTCTTCAGTCTGGGATATGCTTCCCTGTCATATTATTCCAACTTGGAGTCCAGCTCTCAATATCCATGGACTGCATTTTTCAACAGTGGTGACTAGACAGCGATCTCCTTTCTCGGTTTCCCAGATCAGCCGAGAAGAACCAGGCATGTCTGTCCTTTATCAAAAAGTACATAGATGAAGACTGCCTCCTTATGACCTCCACCCTCCAAAAATAAAGGAAAATAATCCGCTTCTCCAGCTTCACCAATGATTGAGTGAATGAAGCAATTGGATTTCAATGAGGTTGTCTGTTCTACACTCACTGACAGAGACTGCTTGCTGCAATTAGTCAATAACTTCATTAAAACAGTATCACTGCCAGGATGGGAGAAGGTACAGGAGATGAACCCTGGCTTTTCTTCATCTTGTAATTCCGAGGCTGAACTGAATGGAGTCAAGAGGGAGGAATGGTTCTTTCATGAAAAGAAAGATCAGCCTTGAATGGAGGAAACAGTTGGAAAGTTTAAGGTACAGAAAAGACTGCAAACTTTTGCCCTGCCACTGTCTCACTGAGACCCTGGTTATATGAACTGCACCCCACACAATAAGCTGATTAGGGGTACCTGAAACGTTCAACACCTTATATCTCGCTCCCACCTTGTGCAACATGTACTGTTTGAAAACTTTAAGGTTTTCGTAAAGACTTGTAGCTCGGGTTGTGGGTGAGGTCGTTGATTCGCTCGGCGTTCAGACTCGTTTTCGTTCAGACGTTTAGTCATCATGCTAGGTAACGTCATCAGTGAGGCCTTCAATGAAGCACGGTTGTTCTACTCCACATGGAATTTGTATCGTTCGGTCTGTTACGGTCAGTTGTGTTATTTCCGGTTCTGTTCTGTATGGGTTTGTATATGGGGTCTAATTCTATATGTTTGTTGATTGCCTTATAGGTTGAGAACCATGCCTCTAGGAATTCCCGTGTGTGTCTATGTTGGCTTGGGCTCGTTGTCCCTGTTAAACTGATGGCCTTCATTGTCTGAGTGTACTGTCTATTTAGCAGGCACCTACAAATGGAGGCAACACCAAGAGGACACAGTATTGGACAGACAAGAAGGAAACTAGCAATGACAATACACGGACATCAGCTAGCAGCAAAACAACATGACAAACTTTCCCTAGTATCAGTACACTCTGACAACAAAAACATCGCTTCACCGGAGGCCTCACTGATGATGTTACCTAGCATGGTGACAAAATGTCTGAACGAAAACAAGCCAGCTCAGCAAACAAGTCAACAACCTCACTGTTTGGAAACTGACTGATCTCATTTTCCAACCAAAAAAAGGGTAGGAAGGAAAACCTAGCTAGCGTACTGAGCAATATATTATCTTTGAATTAAACATTGATGCATGGTAACTGATGGAGGAAGCAAGAACACAAGTCGTACGTGCATTGTATCAGAGATTTAAGCTCCACGAATTAAATCCAGTCATATGGCATGGAAACCAATAACTTCATTCATGCCGACCAGGATTCCCAAACTACACTAGTCCAATGTGCCTGTATTTGGCCTGTATTCCTCTAAAAACTTTTCCTATTCACATACCTGCCAAAATATCTTTTAAATGTTGCAACTGTACCTACCTCTACCACTTCTATTGGCGGTTCATTCCATACTCGCACCACCCTCTCTGTGGGAAAGTTGCCCCTCAGGTCCCTTTTAAAATCTTTCTCTTCTCACCTTAATCCTATGCCCTCCAGTTTTGAATTCCCCTATCCGAGGGAAGTGACCTTTATTATTCTCCTTATCTGTGCCTCATGATTTTATAAACCTCCACACTGGTCACCCTCAACCTCCGAAGGTCTAGTAAAAAAAAAAAAAGTCCCAGCCTATCCAGTCTCTCATTAACTCAAACCCTCCAGTCCTCGTAACATCCTTGTAAATCTTTTCTGCACCCTCTCCAATTTAATACGCTCCTTCCTATAGCAGGGCGACCAGAACTGTATGCAGTACTCCAAAAAAGTGGCCTCACCAATGTCCTGTACAGCTGCAACATGACATGCCAACGCCTTTACTCAATGCTCTGACCAACGAAGACAAGCATGCCAAGTGCCTTCATCACCCTGTCTACCGGTGATGCCACCTTCACAAAATATTAATTTTAATGCATTTCATAGAACATACAGCAACAGAAACGGGACATTCAACCTAGCATATCTATACCAGTGTTTACGTTCTACATAACTTCCTCCCACAACATTTAATTTAACCTCATTTACACAGCCTTCTAATTCATCCTCCCTTACGTGTCTATCTAGCTTCCCTTTGACTATACTATACTCTACCTCAACTACTTCTTGTGGTAACATATTGCACTCCAGGAAGTAAACATAGCCAAATGTTATTTTTTTGTGACAACTGTCTCTTGTTATTTGAACATACTCCTCATTCCCCAAGCACAGGCAAGCTCTACAAAAGCATCCTCACACCATATGGCTTAACCAAATTGAGAGCGCCACTCAAGCACATCAGCCTGAGCTACGAAGTATCAGGGTGGTGCACAATTCTGGAGGGCAATACACACGTGGTCTTCAGTCAATCCTCTTCAGTGCAGGAGGCCGTGTGGAAAGAGCAGTACAATAGCCTCTCTCAATTAGTTCCCTAGGTGGTATAATTGCAAATACATTTCAGGTTCTGGGAAGGTGTTTCCCTGTGACCGCGGGTGCGACTGTGCCCTTGTCTATTTCACCAGACGACACAGGATGAAGGTTGCTAATTCTGATTGACAGCTTCTGCAATTGCTTATCATTCACCCCAGTTCCACTATCCATCAGGCCTGCATGCATCGAGGGGATCAGGAGATCCACAGGTCTGCCTTACTAGTACTCCTCCTCCAGTGGACGATGCTCAACAGACCTGTAAACTGCCACTGAAATCCATTGTCTACCATCACCACCACATATGTACTCATACCTTTGAACTTCGATCGGATGTTTGCCAGTTCTTTATTTATTCGTTTAATTTCTGCTTCTTTGCTTTTACCTAAAAGAAGGAAAAAGGGACATCATTAATGGAGAAGTTGAAATTGCTCTCCTCAAATCAGAGTTCAAAAAGGTTTTAATGGGTGTGTACAAAATAGACAGAGGGGTTTTGATAATGTAAACAGGGAAAAGCAATCTTACTGGCAGGTTACTTCTAACCAAAGGGCACAAATTTAAAGGTAACTGGCAACATTTCTTTTACACAGTGAATTATAATCTATTCAGGCCTGGGTTAGATAGATCATTGATAGACAAGGGACTGCAGGGTTTGCGGGCCAGACAGGAAAGTAGAGCCAGGGCCACAACCAGACTAATCACGATCATATTGAGTGGTGGGGCAGACTCAAGGCCAAATGGCCTACTCCTGTTCCTCAACCCCACACTCCTGTTAAAAGCACAGTCTGAAAACAGAATCTATACAGCTTGCACAGTTGGAAACAGAGTGAAACAGTACATTTTAAAAACGCAATTGGACATACAGTTCAAAAGGAAACATTTGCAGGGCCACAGAGAAACAACTAAGGAATGGGAATAATTGGGGAACTCTGACAATGAGCAAGCACAGGCATGGTGGGCCAAGTACAGAAAACAATTTCTACACTAACTTCGAGCGCTAAATTCTCCAACACACCATTTTAAAACTTAGGAACCTAGCAGATTAGTACTTCACTTCAACCTGCACAATAGATCGGGGAGGCAATTGCCTAGTGGTATTATCATTGGATTGTCAATCCAGAGAACCAGTTTTGAATCCCGCCATGGCAGATAGTGGAATTTGAATGCGATAAAAATCTGGAATTATGAGTCTAATGATGACCATGATTCCACTGCCGATTGTCAGGAAAAACACATCTGGTTCACTAATGCCCTTTAGAGAAGGAAACTGCCATCCTTACGTGGTCTGGCCTACATGTAACTCCAGACCCACAGTAATGTGGTTGACACTTAACTGCCCTCTGGGCAATTAGGGATGGGCAATAAATGTTGGTCAAGCCAGCGATGCCCGAATGAAGGAATTAATTTTTAAAAAGGCATTTGCAAATTCTATGAAAAGTAGCAGACACTGGAAAGGAGGTGGTAAGAGACGCACACCCTCTCCTAGTTCATGAAGTCAACAACAGCTTGCATTTAATGTAAAACTTTAAACATAACAAAAATCCCAAGGAGCTTAAGCAGTGATTACCAAACCAATCAAGAACTGACACTGCGCCACACATGGAGTTTTTAATGAAAGGTGAGCAAAAGTTGGCTTCAAGAGTTGGGTTTAAGGAGCACTTTTAAAGTGGAGGAGAGAAATTGGTAGAGGTTTAGGGTGAGAATTTCTAGCTTTAGGGCCCTCAACAGCTGAAGGCATGACTTAAAAAAAAAGGCCACAACTGTCAGACTACAGAAGGTTAATAGTCCGGAGGTGAAAAATTCATTCTCTATCTTGAGCCAATTCCCAATGACGACGGCTGTAGACCATATGGTGCCTCGAATCAAACAGCATTACATAAATAGGACAACGGAAAGTAAGATTTGACAGGAAAATGGAAAAATACTTCCCAAGTGTAGCCTTTCTTATACATGGACTGAGGCACAGGGAGGGATGAAATAGAGAGAATTTTAAACAGCAGTAAACCTGCCCCAAGTGCGCTCGTCTCTGACAATAAGAAAGAAAATATTTCTTCTCAATTTTCCTTAAATTTGCAGGAGAGCAGGTGCATTCCATCCACATAGAATCCCTACAGTGTGGAAGCAGGCCATTTGGCCCCTGTACCTTAACCCTGCACATCCCACAGCTAACCCACCTAGACTAGATGCTATGGGCAATTTAGCATGGCCAATCCAACTAATCTGCACATCTTTGGACTGTGGGAAGAAAACCAGATCACCAGGAGGAAACCCACAAGCACCAGGAGGAAGCCCACACAGACACAGGGAGAACGCCCCATCAAATGGATGAATACATGTGCTAAAAAAATGTTAAACACAGAAAATGAGGTGAAGTGCTAGGGCCCTTGTGCAAGATACCAAGACAATGAGGGGGGAAAAAAATTAGAAAGACCCAATAAATTAGTAAATTGTGATTAAGTGGCACTATGTGCAGATTTTAAAACCAACCCTAGATTATTTGCCTTCTGCATGACATTGGCAGATCATTTAGGCCAACACCTCATTGCAATACTGAGGAACTGTTGCATTGTCAGAGGTGCTGCTTCTGAGAAGAGATGTTAAAATGAGGTCCTATTTGCCTGTTCAGGAGAACTAACTGGAAGCCATGCACGTGAAGCACTTTGGACCATGTATTTATTTAAAAATCTGTAGATAACAAGAGGAAGGAAAAAGCAAGCGAGATAAGGTATTGCAGTTTCAAAGTCCCAAGTTGCAAGCACAGGAACTTGGCACAATGAGCAAAAATTTCAACACCACGGAGTACACAGGGAAAAGGAAGGCTGTGCTGATTGCCATTTCAAACAGCTTTAGGGGGAACAAGGGAAAGTGCAGAGAAAGTGTCAACAGCTGTGCTGCTTGCATACAGAGTTAAAATAATCTGCACCAAACAGACGCCAGCAGCCAATCTGAGCAAGAACATGTTTAACAAAGAAATTCTATTGACTCATAACAAAACAAAACGACAAAAAAAATGACTTGCATTTATATAGCATCTTATCACAAAGTGCAGAAACGTCTTGTGTTCCCTCATACATTCAAGCAATTCCATCACCAAGACTAGAGTTTCAAACATTTCAAGTAGTAAAATCCCAGAGCTAGCAATGGGATAATCTTCAGTTTGACATTCTATTCCTTCAATACTGCACTAGAGTCTCTTTCAAATATTTAAGATTTGATATGTTTGAGGGTAGACACTGAGAGGTTGTTTCCCCCCAGTTGTAGAGCATAGCGCTATGAGATCTAATCTCCTGATAATGAGAAATTTCTTCACTCAGAGTTATGAATCTTTGGAATTCTCCATTCCAATGGACTGTGGATGCTCAGTCATTTGGCATATTCTGGTTGGAGATAGACTATTTAGAGATTAAGCAACTTAGGGGAATGGGAGTAGGGTGGGAATGTGGAATGTGACCAGGCATTATCTCATTGAGCAGGCCCAAGGGGCGTTCTGCCTACTCCCAGTCTATTATTTTAATGGCTTGACCTGTATTAAGTGTTCTGGTTTAATATACAAAGTGCTATTTCAATACTGCTTGTGCATTCAAATAAAAAAAAGTGTACAAGTTAAAAATACTGTCAGCTCCCCCAGTAACCTGCCTGGTTACCCATGTGATAAGGAACACAATGTCCCTAACTCATGGTGTGATGGCACACACACAAATGATTCAAGCTACTGGGATACTTTAAAACAGTAAATGGGGCCTTTCCAGTCAGAAGGCACAAAGTCAATGGCCAGTGCTGATCTAACTGATCTGAACTCAGCCAACAAAGATGCTAGAAGTAGTTTCTGAGATTCCTGGTCAATGTCAGCAATGAAACTGTATGGTGAACTGCTGAAAGCAGTTTATGTAGGGATGATTGTTAGTAAGAGTCTCCAACAGTTTAAATCACTACCAACAAGGATGGCCTAGGATCAATCATGAAACGGGTTCTCTAGTGGGGCAAAAAGAACTGCATCCCAAAAGGAGTCCACACCTTCAGGTAAAAAAAAGAGAAAAAAAGTTGGGGGGGGGGGGGGGGCGGGGAATGTATTCCATAAATCTTTTACAGGGAACTTATTTTTTTCAAGCATGTATTTTAATTTGGCCACCTAAGCCAAAACTCAAAATGATCATCAAACACATGTTCTTACAAAGCCCTACCCACAACCCAGCAGCAACGTTTACCTCATTGGCAGCAACACCCAAACCAAACTTTTCCTCACGTCTGCAGATACGCTAATGATATTGAAAAATCCAATGTCTAATCACATTCCCCAACATTCAGATAATTTGTTTGCAGATATTTGTATTTGTCATTCATTGTGGGATAAGCTGTGCCCACATTTATAAAGGGAACTACCTATGTAATCGTGTCATGCTGCAGTTACATCATTCTGCCAGAGGTGACACTGTGGCATCACTGCATCAACCTTAAATTCCTATCAGCTCTGCCTTCAAAATGCACTTATTTAACTATAAGTAAAATATAACCAAACTGAATATAATTTTAATCTGGGGACCGAAAGGCATCTGCTCGCCCAGATTCAATTATTCCTTTTAGCACACTAAACTTGAAGGCTGTATAATGTTACAAGTAATCGACAAGAGAATTTACATGTGCATTTGCCTCACCTTAAACCTTAAATTTTAAGTCAGGATTTGTAATACTGCCTACTATTCCAATCCATTCCCTTGTTCAGAATTTTTAAAAAAAGCAATCTCGGTGTCAACTACCTTTATTTCCTAATTCTTAACCTTTTGTTTTAGCCTGTTAAACCAAAATCCCATTTGTCCTCACTGGTGAAGGTAAAAGATTCCCATGGCGCTGTTTCAAATAAAAGGAGTCTTCTACCCAGTACACATACAAATTGCTGGAAATCCATATTTTTTTAAAAAAAAGTTTTCAGGTCAGTCAAGATCTATGAAGACAAATGGAGTTACCATTTCAGGTTGATGTGTTTTCATTAGGACTGAGATGCTGCCTGACATGGGCATTGCTAACATTCCCCTCACCACGATCCTCCAAATCTCTGCGTGCAGGTCAATATTTCTTGCACAAGTAACACAGAAAACAAATCCAGTCATTATGTCTGGGTGTGAGATTTGTGGGAGCTTGCTGCGATCAAATTGGCTGCCCAATTTTCAGCATTACCTACCTAGCTGCAAACATTAAGGTCAGAAAAGGTGCTGCAGAAATTCTTTATTTTTATACACAACATTTTCCAAACAGGTGGTGTTTCAAATTGTCATGCTGCTGCTCTGCTCGGCTCACGAATGTAGAAAACAAACTCCGACCAGCTTAATAACAGGACCCAAAAAACTGATCCAGAATAATACCAAGGTTTCAACAATAGATACAGCTTGCCATTCTTGGTCTTTAGTTATCGATGGTGATTGAAACTTTGCTTTTTTTTTGGAGGGGGCGTAGGATTTTCATCAATATAAACTTGTGCAGTCATAAATTCAAAGGATTGTGCACTGCAATCACCCAGTGGGTTTCTTTCAGAAAGGAGAGGGAGATGAAAAGCCTAGAACTGTTCACCAGTGAAGGGACCACTTCACTCAGTTTGTCTGCATTGCTTCTCCTGAACAGCTAACCATTTAGTCCTCTCTGCCAATATTTATCCACTACACAAAACAAGCTTGGTGTCAGCTAGGATAAGAGACTTAAAACTATCCACTGTTTCTGGTGGAACAGCCAAAAGCAAGTTCAACATTTCTCACTATGGGATGGGGAAAGGGAGAAGAAAAAGCTAAAGTCTGTGTCTCCATATTTTTAAACAGACAAGCAGGGGCATCATTTAGTCCAGAAATTCACAAATTAAACTCTTATTCTGTGGCATGGTAGCTGAGTTCAAACAGCAATTAATGAGAAGATGCAGCAGGACACAGGGAAAGACAATGTTATTTGTTGCCAGAACTGATTGCCAGGTTTGTGGCGAAAGGGGTGTTGGAGTATAGGAGTGAAGAGAGAAACTCTTTGCTAGGCTTCAAGTTCTGATCACTAATTAGTGACCCCTGCCCTGATAATTCGCATTTTAGAGGGTGGTCAAAAATCAACCACATTGACTGTCTAAAGACAGCCAGCATGTCAGCAGGGCAAGATGTGGAAGGCAGATTTTCTTCCCTAAAAAGGGCATTAACATGAGAACTCGGAGAAAAAGTAAGGTATTCAGCCCCTCAACCCTGCTCCGCCATTCAATATGATCATGACTGATCTCATCTCAGCCTCAACTCCACATTCCTGCCCAGTCACTATAACTCTTCAATGCATTACTAATTAAAAAAAAATCTGTAAATTTATTCAGTGTCCTGGCATTCACCACACACGGGGCTAGTGAATTCCATTGATTCACAATCATTTAAGAAGTAATTCCTCCTCATGTATTTTAAATTTGCCACCCCTTAGCCTAAAATTATGATCTCTAACCAGAGTGAAATAGATGGATTTTTACAACAACGATAGTTTCACAGTTGCCAACACCGAAATTAGCTCTAGATTTAATGAATTTAAATTCTATCAGCTACCTTGGTGAGGTATGAGCCCCATGTCCCCAGAATATTAGCCTGGGCCAGTGGATTAGTAGCTCAGTGACATTATCATTATGCTATTGTTTCCCCTCAATACAGAATGATTCTCAAGGGAAACAGGGAAAATTTAAATTCAGAGGGGTCCAGGTCTCATGGCACAAAGTCATGGTTAATATGAAGGTACAGCAAGCAAAACAGGAAAGCAAACGATATGCTATCTTTATTATTGAAGGAATTGAAGTGAATAAGTCTCACTGCAATTGTACATGCAATTGGTGAAGACCCACTCCTGGTGTACTGCACACAGTTTTTACACCCTCATCCAAGGGAGGACAATCTACCTACCTCAGCAACAAAGGTTCACTAGACTGGTTTCTGGGATTAGGGATTGTCGATGATAAGAGATTAAGACTATGTTTCCTGGAGTTTCTTGAAAAACAAGGTCCCACACTGATACATCTAGAATGCTTAAGGGGCTTGATAGCAGAAATGCTGGAAGAATTTTCTTTTTAAAATTAGGCTGTTGTGTCCAAGACCCCAAAGACTGCAGCGGCTCAAGAAAACCATTCACCACCACCTTCACATTATAGTTCTGGTCAACCTGCCATAGGAAGGATATTATTAAATTGGAGAGAGTGCAGAAAAGATTTACCAGGATGTTACAGGGACTGGAGGGTTTGAGTTACAAAGGTAGGCTGGGATTTTTACACTGGAGCCTAAGAGGTTGATAGACGACCTCAGAGGTTTATAAAATCGTGAAGGGCATAGATAGCATGAATGGCAAAGGTCTTTTCCCCAGTGTGGGCGAGTTCAAAACTTAGGGGGCATATTTTTAAGCTGAGAGTAGAAAGATTTAAAAGGGACCCAAGGGGCAACCTTTTTCACACAGAGGGTGGTTTGTATGTTGAATAAACTGCCAGAGGAAATGGCAGATCTGGGTACAATTACAACATTTAAAAGACATTTGGACAAGAACATGAATAGGAATGGTTCAGAGGGATATGGGCCAAATGCAGACAAGTGAGACTAGTTTAGTTTAGGAAACTTGGTTGGCATGGACTAGTTGGATCAAAGGGTCTGTTTGCATGCAGTATGACTCTACAATATAGGCTAGCTTAGCTTGTGATGCACACAACCCATGAAGAATGTTTTGTTTTAAACTGCATCACAGACTCATAATAATGGGTCAGCCATTTAGGATTAAGAGGACATATTTCTTCAAACAGAAACTTCTGGATTTTTAGAATTCAACACAGACGAAGATCTGGATGTTCAGTAGTTCCATTGACTAAAGATAGAAGTCCATGAATTTTGGCTAACAGAGGTGATACGACTAGAAACAACTTAGGAAGGTTAGCCAGGACCACACTGATTGTGGAGAAGGCTCAAATGGTCTACTTCTGCTCGTATTCTTCATGCTCCCAGTCAGATACCGGTTGGCTGGTAAAACACATACTTTTTCACTTAGATTCCCGTAATATTTACTATAACAGATACCATCTTTCTAACTGTGGACTGAAATCAGCAAATCTCAAACTGTCTCAATTTAGCACTTTAGCAAAATGAAAACTTCAAGCAGCCATTAGGATGTCCTCATCAATATGAAAAGAAAGCTAGGAAATCTCTGCATTTGGGCAGAAGAAGAGCTAATGTTTCAGATTGATGTCTTCTCATCAGAATTCACGATGAACAGTCATCGACCTGAAACATTAGCACTGTTTCTCCCTCCATGGAAGCTACTGTATATTTCTTTGTTATGAGAATGTCCAAATATCACTTAACTACTTTGGGATTGAGACAATGTTTGTCCTGGATATGGGTTTTTTTAAAAAAAAATAAAGGTTGCCAGTAAAAGGAGCAATTGTTTGATGTCCAGCTGATCATGCATTGAAAATACCAAATGCAGCGTGTTCCTGGTCCTTCGCAATCCACTCTGTTGCAAAAGTAGTCTGGCACAGGTCTGAAACCTGGCTCAGCAAAGATTTGCACAGAAGTGGTAAAGTGTGCAGTCATTAACATTTACCAGTGGTCGCATAACAGAGTTGTACACGTGACCGTGATGTTGGTGGTCAAGGTTCAGTACCAGTCGAGGCTATTGTGAAACAAGGAGACAGTGCAACCTGGAATTCTACAATTGGACTGCAGTGGATTTTGCTGCATTAGCCAGAAATTTTGCAATGAAGGCATTCTAAAACCAAGCAACTCCCTTACTGGATTTTGGCTTTTACTGCATTAACCTGAGTAATCAATCACATCCATTTTGCACTGTTCCTCCCAAGAAGCACCTTCTTCATACAGCAAGCCACTTTAGGGTACCCTCAATCACTCAGATTCCACTAACAGCTTGTCATTTGTAGCACATACTGCAAAGACATATGCATTCACCTTTCTTGTCCTAGTTAGTGTCCTGGATGGGATTGAATAAGGGGTATAAAGGAACAAATGCAGGATTAGACACCCTGATGCTCATTGCAAACAAATTGTGAAAACAGCGGCAACAGAACTTGATCTGCTCCTTTGCCAGGATTTCCCAACTTCCTCATCCTGGTTAAAATGGAGTGCTCAGCCCGTTGACATGGTACACCCAGTGACCAGCACACCCCACGCCCACCACAAACCCAAGTGCATGAATTTGACCCACCGCCATCTGCTCACGGTCAATGTCGGACACGAGCTGCCACACCAGGGAGGGGACACAAGCGCTGCCCTAACCAGCCTACCACCTCAACAATTGGTCATCAGGACCCCCATTTGGGAGGCAGGGGTGGGTCAAGCTTAAAAAGCATTTTCTAGAAACAGCGCAGGGGTCAAAGGGGATGACAGCACTCTGTGGGTACCCCTTTTCAAAGCCTACCCCACCCAAACCACCAATACCTCCAAAACACATACAATATATATATCTTATATAGCCTTTATTTATTAAGGTGATATATTGTTTAGTTAATTAATAAGTTTATTAATTAGGAATTTTTTTCCAATCAATGGCTAGGGGGAGAAAGCAGATGCATTATAAATGGGCTTTGCCTGGTCTCCACCTCCTCCCTCCCCCCACCCCCCAAGCCCATCTGCAACCACTTACAGTTCCGAATGTCCGAGATAAACACCGCCAACCCCCTCATCCCGTCGCCTTTGGACACCGCCGGCATCTTCACGCCTTGACACGAACCACCGCCGCCGCCTGGACCGGAAGAAACTGGCGAAGGAAAGCGGGATCGTTTACAATGAAAAGGCCCAGCAGCAGCAGCAGGCCTCGGTCCTCCTGTCACTGGGCGCCTGGAATCAGCAGGCCGGAACTGGGCGGGACGGACTGGGGCTGACACTACTATCGGCGCGTATTGGCTAGTACATCTGCCCGTCAGGAAGCTTGCGAACTTAGAATGGTCGACGGCATGTCCGTCACAAAGAACTCCATTCCGTATTGGATGGTGGACTGTCCATCATATGTGGGTGGGGTCGATTCCGCCTCCGCCCACGCCCCGCGGTGGCATCCCGCCTCCCCGTCTCCATTGGTCGTGGAGCACGTTCATCAGGACTGAGCATACGTCTATTGGTTAGAATTCACATCTACCGGGGCGGCTGTGTACTCCCATTGGTTGCAAGTAGGTCTAGCCCATTTATGGGTGGGGTCGACGGATATTCTGAATGACAATTGGATTATATGCCTGCCGATCAATCTTTTGCCTCCTCTGAATGGCTAGATAACCACAGCGGTGTGGGGGGCTTCTGTGGTAATCACGATCTCAAGAACAAGGCGGCGGCGGGGGCGAAGCGCCATCGTACCCATAGGTCATCGCTCGACTAACTGAGATGAACAACGATTCAAAGACATTTTTTCTTCTGGCGAGGACGGCGGCAAATAATTTTATCCATCCGGTTGATATGAGCAAACGGGCGGATCTAATTGGGTGAGAAACCCTATTGATGGCGGAAGGAGCGCAATCCTTTTGCTGATATGTCACTGACGCTGCCAATCAAACAGATACCCTTGCTGATTGGTCGGATAACCTGTCAACCTTGCCGGGTCGAAAGAGCCCGCCCAATAATCCTTGCCTAGCCTGCAATTGGAGGAAAAGGTCACCAATTTATTAATATAGTCAGATTTATTTCTAATTCATCAATGAACCCAATTTCAACACTTGATTGCTGCAATAAAGGGCACAAAATGCCAAAAAGGACTCCTTGCATTATAGTCACTTGGTGGTTCTGGGTACCACATCTTAGGAAGGATGTATTGGCCTTGCAGGCAGTACCACTGAGGTTTACAAGATTGATGATAACAAGATGTGGAGCTGGATGAACACAGCGGGTCAAGCAGCATCAGAGGAGCAGGAAAGCTAGGAAAGCCTTTTTACAAGATTGATACCTGGACTTCAGGAAATTATTTTTAAATCAACCTTTTCAAAGATGTTATTATAGACATTTGGAGCAAGGCTTGTGTGGTGTGGTGGTAATAACCCTACCTTGGAGCCAGAAGTCGCACATGTTCCAGAAGTATAATAACACTCCCTGAATAGATTGATTAAAATTGCCTCCACCTCCGGAGCAGATGTGATTTGAATATGGACCTCCTACTCCAGAGATAGGGACAATACCATAAAGGCCTTAGGACTTCAATGGTTATGTGGACAGATTAGACAAATTAGGCCTGTTTTCTCCAGAATTTAGACGTTTAAGGAGTGATCTGATCTCAAAGTCTTCAAGCTTTTAATGTGAAAAGGTGGACCTGATGAAAATAAACTATTTCCACCATTTGGGGATTCTAGAATTGGGGGTCACAGTCTAAAACTTAGGGATAGACCGTTGAGGAGGTCTTGTACAAGGTCTTTACCAAGAATGGATACCCCCGCAGTTTCATCTACAGATGCCTAGCCAACAGACAACACAACCAGGACACACCAAAACCCAAAAATAACCCACCATACAATAAATAAAAAACACCACAGTACCGACAGCCAGACTAATCAGACCGCTAGGAATCATGACAGTACACAAACCAGCAGCCACACTAAGACAGCAACTTAACAGAGTTAAAGACCCAATAGATACCACGGACAGGACGAATGTGGTCTGCAAGATGCCATGCGAAGACTGCACAAAACACTACGTGGGACAAACAGGCAGACAACTAGCAACCCGCATCCACAAACACCAGCTAGCAACTAAACAACATGACCAGATATCCTTGGTTTCAATACACCGGAGAAAAACCACACTTTCAACTGGGACAACACTACTATCCTTGGACAAGCCAAACAGAGGACAGCCAGGGAATTCTTGGAAGCTTGGCATTCATCTGCAGACTCCATCGATAAACACCTGGAATTAGACCCGATGTACTGACCATTACAAGGCACAGCTGGAACCGGCACCTACCAGAAGCGGCAAAAACCAGACCACATAAATTCAAACCGGCACAAGATAACAGCGCTTCACAGGAGGCGCCACAACGCTGAGAATGTCACCTAGTAAGGGGATAAAACGTCTGCTATCAAACCTCCCAGCTCAGTGAACACACCAACATCTATCAGCATCTCATCCGGTGCCATTCTCCTCCCATCACCCCATAAACCTGCATGTTGCTCCTTTTCAGATAACTGTTTAATTCCCCTTTGAATGCTTGATTGAACCTGCCTCTGCTACATTGTCAGGTAATAAATTCCAGACCCTAACCACTCTGGAAAAGATTCTCCTCATACTATTTTTGCTTCTTTTTGGCCCGTTACTTTGAAACTGTGCCCTCTTGTTTTTGAACCTTTCATAAACAGGAACAGTTTCACCCTAAAATAAAACAAACAGCTGCAGATGCTGGAAATCTGGGACAAAATCAGAAATTTATGGAGAAACTCAGCAGGTCTGGCAGAGTCAGAGAAACAGAGTTAACAATTCAAGTCCAGTGACCCTTCAGAACTGGACCCTAAATGTTAATTCGGTTTCTCTCTCCATAGATGCTGCCGGATCTGCTGAGTTTCTCCAGCAACTTCTGTCTTAGTTTCACACTATCCACCTCTCTTTACCTGGCCTCGATAATGTACACCTCTGTTACTTTCTCCCTTGTGACTGTTTAGTCTTCCCTTAAATATGTGCTCACTTTTTATTTTCCCATGGGACTGAGAGTGTCCCTGGCATTTTAATGCCCATCTGAAATTGTCCTTGAGACAGTGGGTGGTGAACCACCTTCTTGATTATTGCAGCACATGCAGTAGCAAACTCCACTCTGTGTTAAAAGAAATACAGACATATATTTACGTGGAGATAGTAGGAACTGCCAATGCTGGAGTCTGAGATAACAAGGTGTAGAGCTGGATGAACACAGCAGGCCAGGCAGCATCGGAGGAGCAGGAAAGCTGACGTTTCAGATCTGGA